CTGCAGCACAACCAAATACCCGTTTTCTGGTCACCTCGTTACTAACACGACAACCAGCCAGCTTCCGAGGCATCGGTGGTCGAAAAGCTGAAAACACCTCACATCATCTCTCCGCAGAGGTCATGTCACGCACTTATACAACAACACAGCCCGTACTGTAGCCCGGTACACATTCTGTGACACTTTAACGCCACAAGTGACGCAAATTAGCAAACGTGATTCGAGCCTTTGGGATTCTTGCACTGACTTCATCAGACACACCTCCGTTAGAGCTAATACAACCACCGAGGTACGTAAAGTTTTCCACAATCTCAAGTAGTTCTCCTTTAATTGTTCGCAGAAGGCACGTTCTGAAGCAAGACTTTGCACTCTGAAGGTGGGAGGCGCATGCCAAATGGCGGAATGATGGCGGTCAGTTTATTCAACAGAGCTTGTGCTTCGCTTTGGTCTCCAAAGATGAGAGGCGAAGTCATATGCATACTCCAGATCGACAAGGCTCTCACCATCAACAGTTCGAACACCGGGAGTTCGGAGACCGTCCAGTGTTCGCCTCATTATTTCATCAGTGACGAAGTTGAACAGGAATGGACAAGAGTGGACATCCTTTTCTGCTGATACGTAGTTTCGGTCAAGCCAACGAATTCCAATTCTTTCCATATATCCCGTTCAAACTGATACTGTTCTGAAAGAATACGTCAGTTGGATAGAAATTGGACTTGTGTTATTCTTTCATAAGCCCAGGGAAATTTACTCCACTGAGCGATGGGCGAAGCATCTCAAATTACGACTTCGCTACTCATTTAACACAAAGAAGTAGAGCAACAGCAAGCAGCACGTTATCTTGTTTGTAAAATATCAAGAAGATGGTCTTTTATCGGGAAAACCGAGTTCATTCTATCCGATGAGAACGGATTAACTCAGTTTAACTAGCCATTTTGCAGCAATACATTCGATAAACCTAGATCCAGCCGCCTTTGTTTCAGAAATAATCAGAGGAACGACAAGCAAACGGACGAGTTATTGTCTGATTCGAACATCGATTGCAATGGACGCTGTTGGGGATATCAATATCCCCCCAAAAATGCCGTGTTTTTATGTGTGCTAGCGACTTCCGGCAAACTTCAAGGTCAAACTATGAATAAATCAATGGCCTATTGATATTCCAAGAAATTCAAATCCGACCACTTACGCGATACCATCTTTTTACTGACTTGGGTTCGGAAGCCTGTTGATCGCGTGTTTTTGGATCAATAAAGTTTGTGTCCGAGGTTTTTCGTCTTCTTACTATCCGCCGTGCTAGGAGTCTGGAACAAGCAACATAGCTGGGGATGGAGTATTGCTACAATCCGCATACCATATTGTTTGCTCGTTGCGTGACCGAACCGTAACAGACGCAATCGAAGAACTTCTAGGTTTATTTTATCCCTTTATACCTCGCTTCATTTGAACAATATTTTACCTTCCCAAGTTTCTACTTGGGCAACATCTTCGTCGTGTTTTTGAACTTGACGCAGTTAGCATGCGAAAAGCTCAAATGCTTTTGGAATACTTTACCACGACCATCGGACAGGATTGATAGCCACCATTCGTGGTGAAACAACGATTGCTCTGAAGAGTTCAAATAGTTCAATTCAAATCTTTCATCCTGTCTTTTGTTCTCATTCATTACAAACAAAATTTGTTTACCTTCTAGTTTCCATCTGGAATTGATTATCCATCCGTTTTTCGCGCCAATCACATGGTTCCAAGTTTGAATGCGAAGTAAACATCGACAAGAAGCATGTTACAGAAGTCTGTGAAAAATTCAGAACTTGTTTAATTTGTGTTCGGTGAAAGACCGATTGTTTATCATATAACTGTGCTGCGAGTGCTGTCCTATTTTAACTGATTTCAAACACAACTACAACTGTTCACAGCAGACAGACATTTGGTCCTTGACTTAATCCACTTAGCTGGTTCAATGTCCAAAATCTGTGATTGTTGATCTGTGCAATTTGAGCGCAACCGGTATTATGACGAAATTGGCGTATCGTTTGCAGCATATCCGCCAGAGGGTATGCGATAATCCGTGGAGAACCACTAGGGTTGCCAAGATAGCCTCGGTGTATGAAAGACCGGAAGTTTATCTCAACAAGCTGTTTGTCTTTATTGTGGACAAAAGCTACGAATGTTCCTGTCTGGAAGGCATATACCAATCCTTGTTCGTATAGTTCAGTAGAAATAACTGTACAGCTTCACCACTAGTCAAATACTAGTGAAAAAAGTCTCTCCGGAGGAAGCCAGCGTCATCGCATAGTTTGACTCGCGGGAATCTCTCGAAACCCGTCAGCTGAGTATGTCGCGGTGCTTCTGTCATCCGTGGAGATATCAGTGTCTGATTAGACAGATCGGAGACAGTGAGCTCACCAAAATAGATTTGTGACCACCCTGTCATAAGTTTGATGATAAAGTAGTCAAAATTGTTCAACTAAGGATGTATGTGCTTCAATTTTGTCGTGATTGAAAGGGCCTGTTTGTGTGTCAAAATGTGCTTTCGGAGCTAAAACGCCATCGTGAGACCTCACTTGAATGACAAAAATGGTTTCCCCGTAATAATAGAGTAGGTCACAAGGAAAACATATTCAACGACACAATCCTCTGATTTACAATCTAACTGGTTCCACAAGACGCCGCTTGTTTGTGCTCTTTAGAGTTTAAAACTCATGTCATTACAAAACATCATGTTCTTTTTTCCGAACTACCGATATTACTAATGATCCTTCAGATTTAACATTCTTAGGCGCACGGCTGCCGTGTCATCCAAAGGAAGCACCAGGAATGACATAATGTCGAGTTTTCGAGGCCCGGACAAGAGCAGTCGAGATGCAGAGGTTGTGTTCGAACCATGGCTCTTCTGCTTAGTAGGTTTGCGCCCTGCTGACTGAGCTGTCTCCACTATCGACACTGATGTCGCTGTTGGTAGTCTAAATAACAAACAGAATTATAAAGTCGAGATTTCGGAGTGCTGTTTGTTTTGATTTCCAAAGCATTTGCGCGCGGAATAGAACTTTCTAT